GGCCATTTTCATGTCCTAAATAATGATTCTGTTAAGGTTTGCTAGCATGAAGTTGTGGTATTTCCTGTTCTCATTTCTCATGTTGGGTGTCATGCTTTCCCTTATTCCAATGCGTTTTCCCAGAATTAGTCAGTTTTATTGGTCTTTTCAAAGAACCAATTCAGGTTCTTATACCTTACTGTACTGTCTTAGCATTTTGTGATGTTTGTTTTTGTTCTTATTAATTTCTTGATTTTATTATTTTTTTTTCACCTTCTCAAGTTGAATACCATTGTAACTTTTACTTATCCAGTAACAGCTGCAGTTATAGCTATGGCTTTTCTTCTTTACACATACCCCTTAAATTTGTAGGTATGGTGTCATAAATAGTTTGAGATTCTATTTTTTATTGAAAGAGTTATCTGGAATTATACTTTTTCATTCCCAGACAGGTTCAATATTTGTTGTTGTTTTTAACATTCGCTATAAATGCCTAGTTTTACTGCCTTGCTGTCCAAGAGGGTGTGGCCTGTACAATTTCTGCCTTTTAGAGTTTATTTATGTTTTCTTAGGATCTAATAAATTGTTGGTTTTAATAAATATTCCCAGGAAACTGCAGAAGAAGGTATAGTCTCTGAGGGGAACAAAATTCAAACAACATGTATTAATTTGATCTTATTAATTATCATGTTATGGACCTTTCATTTTTACTTGCTTGCGTCCTTGAAGACTAAGGAAAGTGTGTTAGTCTCCACTGCTGTTGTATTTCTGTCTATTTCTCTTGTTTCTACAGTTTTCACTTTCCGTGTTTCAGGCTGTTGTTATTTGGCAAATTCTCTTTTCATATTTAAGGGGGAAAATATTTTCTTTTAAAGACTTGTATACCTTTGTGAATTTTTACCTGATTTTGTTGTAACCGTTGTTTTTTGTCGAAATACGTAGTTCGGTAAAATGTTTGCATCTCTTAAAAAGTCAACAACGATCTTTCAGAAGCTTTTGTGTCTTTTTTCAAATATATTTTTATTGATTTCAGAGAAGAAAGGAGAGGGAGAGAGAGATGAAAACATCAGCGATGAGAGAGAATCATGGATCGGCTGCCTCCTGCACGCCCCACACTGGGGATCGAGCCCACAACCCAGGCATGTGCCCTGCCCGGGAATCGAACCGTGACCTCCTGGTTCATAGGTTGACGCTCAACCACTGAGCCACACCGGCCACGCCTTTGTGTGTTGAGCAGATATTTTGAAAGCTCAGTCTTCCCAGGGGCAGGTTGATGTTCTCGGGGCCACAGAGTGGACGGAGGCCCATGTGCCTGAGGAAGAGAATGAGGGGTTTGGAGTGTGTACATTCCCACCCTGCTCTGGGGCAACGCCGCTCAGGGAAGCTTAGGGGACCCCCCCTTGGGGACGACACCACAATTTTTCTCCACCCAAGAGGCACTTTCCTCCTGCCTTCCTGGCTCTTGAGGGAAAAGCTAATCTCGGAGACTCCTGCCACCAGAAAAGAACTTTCCAGAGCTGCTCTCTGAACAGATGATGCCCGTGGCCGAGACTGCGCTGGGCAGAGGACCAGCTGCTCCCAAACCCGTGTAGGCGGCGTGACTCCCACCCCACGGCTCGGGAGTGACAGGAATACGGGCTTCTCTATTTTCCCAATCCAAGTTCATGTCTGTTTTGAGCCCCCATTCTACCAGGCTCCTGTAGGTGGGTCTCAGCCAGTTCTGGGACCCCCTTTTCTCCAGAGGTGAGTCCTCAAAGATTCTGGCAGCATCTAAATTCCCAAGGTGTCAGGGGCAGGGGGCCCGCATCTGCTGAGACGGCTCCTGCCCCTTATGCTCCGAATCCCTCAGATACTCCTGAGCCGCAGAGCTCTCCGTGCGGCCGTCCGGCCCTCTCTCCGGCCATCCCCTGGCTGACAGCAGAGGTTCTGGGTGAGGGCGATGGGACTTGCTCACTCCGGGCACTCCGTTCTCTTCTCTCCCCCATCCCTCCCTCTTCCTGGTCCTCTCACCCGGGATCTCCTCCATCTTCTGGTTCCTCTTACGTAAAGCGACAGAGGCCTCCCCCCAAAGCTTGGAACAGATCAGGTTGTACCCCGTCTCTCCGTCCTTCACCCCTAGCTCCCCAAGGAGGCCACACCGGGCGCCTCCCAGACCCGCCCTTGCCTGGCTGCCTCAGTGCTCTGCTCGCCGGCTCCTGCCTCCCCCACGGCCTGACAGCCTTGCCCTGCTCCAACTTCACCCCTCTTCTTAGGCTCAGGGGCTTCTCTCATGCTTCTGACTTAGATAGCTCGGTTCACACTCACAGCTCTTTTTTGAATCATCACCCAAGGATATTTTTCCATTGATTTTTAGAGAGAGTAGAAGGGAGAGGGAGAGACAGAGAGAAACATCGATGTGAGAGAAACACATTGATCGGTTGCCTCCTGCATGCACCCCGACCAGGGCCGGGAACCTGCAACCGAGGTACATGCCCATGACCGGAATCGAGCCCGGGACCCTTTGGTCCGCAGGCCGGTGCTCTGTCCACTGAGCCACACCGGCCAGGGCTGGAAGGATGGTCTGCAGGACGGCAGTTTCCGGGCTGCCTGGGTTTCCAGCCCACCTCCGAGAAAAGCTCCTGGATTCAGACCTGGGCAGTCGTGCAACCTCCTCCTGCTAGACAGGATGCTGGCCCCTTCAAGGTGCCCAGGTCCTCTCTCACCCTGAAACCTCGAATCTGCTGCCTCACCTGGCAGCAGGGCCCTTGCCTGTGAGATGACGGGTCCTGCCGGTGTGCGTGGGCCCAGTCTAATGACACAAGTTCCTAAAAGCTGAGCACCTTTCCCGGCGGGGCTCACAGAGAGACACGATGGGAGGAGAGTCAGAGAGATGCGACGTCGCTGGCTTTAAAGATAGAGGAAGGGGCCGCAAGCCAAGGAAAGCAGGCGGCCTCTACGGACTGGGAAAGGAAGAAAACGGAGGCCCCCCTAGAGCCTTCGAAAGGAACGCAGCCCTGCCGACTCCTTGGTAGTAGCCCAGTGTGACCCTGGCCGACCTCGGACCGTAGAAAGGTAGGATGATACACGGCTGTGGTTTTGAGGCTATAATTTTGTGGTGGCAACAGAAAAACAATACACTCCTCACGTGCATTTGCACACTGGAAATCTGAGAGCCTTCGTGGTATAAATTCCCTGAACGACACGGTTTACGCGATGGGAGGTCATTCATGAGACGCCTGTTGGCTGCAGCTCGTGCCGCCACCTGCTTTGCTCCCCAGTTTGCCTTCCGGGGGGGGGCGAACAAGCGAACGAGGGACTCTGATAGCCTGGCCCCTCGTTGTGTATCCCAGGACGATGGATGCGATGCAGCCAGCCATGGACCGGCTCTCCCAGGGGCAGGCCCAGGGGGTAAAACTGGCCATGACGACTGCCCCTGTAGCCGGGCTGTGGGTGGAGAGGCAGCGTGACCGGGGTCCAGGACAAGGTGGCCGTGGAGGAGAAAGAGGGGTCAGGGGAGACTTGAGACAGCGGAAAACCACGGGGTTCAGGCTGAAGGACGGTGTGGATTTGCCGGGACCTGCAGGCAGAGGGCTGAGGGCATCCCAGGGACTCAAGTGGGCAGGGCCGTTTGGGGCAGGCAGCAGGCAGCAGCTGGCTTGGTGTTGCTGGAGCCAAAACCCTGGGGGGTGAAGAGGGAGGGACCCCAAGACAGGAGTGGCCGAGGTTGATGGGTGGCACGTGGAGGGTGGGTCGAGGGGCCTGGAGCTGGACAGAAGTGGCCAGACTGTCCCCTCTCCTTGTCTCTGGATCCCCTGACAAATGGGCCAGGAGGTTTCATCGGGAGAACTTTTGAAAAGGGCCCCTTTTTTGGAGGCTTCTCGTCTTTGGCAGAGCTGAGGAAGCAACGCCTGAGAATCCCCCGTGCTCACAGGTCTCTCACAATACGGAATTTACGATACTTTTAAAAGTCCAACAGAGTTCTGATTTTGCCACTTTTTAAAATATTCCGTTCTTTCCAGAGGAATGCTCTGGGGCTCGGGTTGGCCTGTCTGTGGTGGGGACGGGGGCCTGGGGCACAGCCACCCACCCTGCCTCTGGGATTTGGAACTGACCCCGTGGGAACCCAGGATCGCCATGGCAACGTGGGAGAGCCAGGTTAGCGACTGCCTGTATGGTCCCTCCCCTTTCCTAGTGTTAACACAAAGCAGGGAGAAGGGGTTCCAGCATGAGGTTTCAGTTCCGAGGGAACAGCACTTCCCCTCCCCTTAGTATTCTCTTAAATGTTTAACTGAAATCTTATTAAAAACGTTAACACCCCACCACACACACAGGGAAGGCTGTGCTTCTCATATGTTAAGATTTCCTGTTTTCATTTAAATATATATTTGTATTGATTTCAGAGAGCAAAGGAGAGGGACAGAAACATCAATGATGAAAAAAAAAACCCAAACATCAATGATGAGAGCGAATCACTGATTGGCTGCCTCCTGCACACCCCACACTGGGGATCGAACCCACAACCCAGGCATGTGCCCTGACTGGGAATCGAACCCTGACCTCCTGGTTCATAGGTCGATGCTCAACTACTGAGCCACACTAGCCAAGCTGTTTTCATTTCTTATGAGTGACATGATACATTAGAAATAGTCCTTTATTGTGAGTTTATAGAGTGCTTGATACATAAAATACATTTTATTTAAAATAATTTCTACATATAAGCAATTTATTGATTATTGCTAAAATAATGTTCACATTCAACCTTTACATCTGAGGAAAGCGCTACACACGCACACAGGGCTCGGTCAGTAGTCTATTAGTGCTGCTCACCACATGCCGTCATCCGTAAACGGTTTTCAAGTGAGGGAATGATCTAGACCAGGGGTGGGCAAACTTTTTGACTCGAGGGCCACAATGGGTTCTTAAACTGGACCGGAGGGCCGGAGCAAAAGCATGGATGGAGAGTTTGTGTGAACTAATATAAATTCAAAGTAAACATCATTACATAAAAGGGTACGGTCTTTTTTTTTTTTTTAGTTTTATTCATTTCAAACGGGCCGGATTCGGCCCGCGGGCCGTAGTTTGCCCACGGCTGATCTAGAACATCCACGGTGAGAAATAAATACTAGTCTCTATGCCAGCAATACTCACTACGGGTTCTCAGATCCCAAATACGGTCTGGTGTGTGCAGCCACCACCTCTCCACTCTCGGGTCCTAAAGCCACAACATGAAGCAGCAGCTGCTGCCCGGCCCATGGCCCTGCAGGTCTCCGGGGGTCACACGGCCACACTACCCTGTTCACGTGCTTGTCAGCAGCAGGCCTGGCCCCGTGGCTTCACGCAGCCCTCAGCCTGGAGAAGAGCTAGTGGTCCCACTCCCCGGGGCTGTCCTCCTCCTCCTCCTCCTCCCCCTCGTCCTCTTCCTCCTCCTCCGAGTCGGCGGACACTCTATGGATTCTCTGGAGCGCAGCCTTGATGCTCCGCTCCAGGTCGCTGGCTGGCTTCCTGCTGGGGCCGGGGCCGGGGCCGAGGTCCGGGTACACTTTCTTCAGTTTGACGCCCTGCCTTATGGCTGCCAGGATGTGCTCGTTGATGGAGGTGCAGGGAGGGGTCGGCGTGGTCACTTCCACCTTCTGGAGCGGGGTTCTGCCGCACCTCAGGGCGGCCAGCACCTCGTCCATGGACCCTGAAACTGAGCAAACAGAGCAAGTAACGTCAAGAAGTTATTCTCTCCCCCGAGGTGCCGGGGCGTCTTGGTATTAGTTCAGGGTGTTAAGTCACACAGCGGTTAACGCCACGATTTATACGGACGATCACCATTCCCTTAAACCAGTGACAGCGAACCTATGACACGCGTGTCAGAGGTGACACGCAAACTCACTTTTTTGGTTTTTTATTTGCTAAATGGCATTTAAATATATAAAATAAATATCAAAAATATAAGTCTTTGTTTTACTATGGTTGCAAATTTCAAAAAATTTCTGTATGTGACACGGCACCAGAGTTAAGTTAGGGTTTTTCCAAAATGCTGACACGCCGAGCTCAGAAGGCTCGCCATCACTGCCTTAAACAGAAGTTTTCTCCCTGCGTGAATCCGGGATAGTTCGATCACTGATGTTTTGTCGTGAGCACCACTAGCAACTGACAGGCCCCGTCGTGCACACCTTTGGTTCGGAGGCGGCTGTGACACGGGCAGGTGATCCTGAGGGGGGTTTCGGATGCCTGGGGGTACATCATCCGATCCAATGGGGGTGCTTTAGACACTTCTGAACCTCCACCTCCTCCATGTCCCTTCCCACTGGGAGAGAAATCTACTTAAAACACGTACCCTGCTGTTTCTCTCGCTTCAGCTCTGTATTAGTCAGTGATGACTAACAGTCAGTGTGACAATGAGCGGGGAGGTTTCCACACAAGAGGAGGCTTGAGGTAAAACTTTAATCAGCAGCTCAATGAGCCCCGTGGGGGCGGCCCTGGCACGGCTCCCCTGCAGCGTCTTCAATCCACCCACGTTACCGAGGTAACTTACACGCTCTATTCTCAAGGGTGTGAAATGCTGTCAAAATACAAGTCAGATCAGAGTTCCAGAGCCTGTGAGTAGAAGCTGTTTTTGACTCTGGCGCCGTGAGACCCTGGGCGGGGGAGAATCCTGGCCACCGGCTGGAGAGAGGGGCCGCCTGTGGCCACCCTTCAGGGCTCTTCCTGGGAGGCTCCAAATGAAGAGTTGTTTCTAGCTCAGGACTGAAGCCAAGTGATGGCTGAAAATAATACTATTTCGCCTGAGCCGGTTTGCTCAGTGGATAGCGCATCAGCCTATGGACCAAAGGGTCCCGGGTTTGATTCTGATCAAGGGCATGTACCTAGGTTGCAGGCTCCGCCCAACCTGGTCGGGCAGAGGCAACCAATCAATGTGTTTCTCTCACATCGATGTTTCTCTCTGTCTTTTTCCCTCTCTCCCACTCTCTCTAAAAACCAATGGAAAAATATCCTCGGGTGAGGATTAAAAAAAATACTACTTGAACCTATAACTTGTTACTATGGTCCTCTTCTAGGAGTGAGAGGGCAGTTCACAGCCAGGGGCATTTTTTCCTTATTCTTGTCTGCGGAATGAGGCAGGGTGGGAGGTGCACAGGGCTTCCCCTCACTGTGTGCCTGGGAGCCAGGCTGGAATGAGGCACCCACAGCCAGACTCCAGGCGAGGCACCAGCATGCATGCTGTCCCTCCCCATTTAAACAATCTTATTGTGCCCGGCTGGTGTGGCTCATTGGTTGAGCGACAACCTATGAATCAGGACAGGAGGTCACGCTTCAATTCCTGGTCGGGGCACATGCCTGGGTAGGGGGTGTGCAGGCGGCCTTAAAAAAAATAAATATGTAAGTAAATAAACGATGTTGCAAATCCCATGGCAGGGCCAAGGGGTCTCCACCTGATAGCGTGGACTTTTCATCTGTACTTGGTTCTAGGTACAGTTACACCTTGAACTCAGAATAACCAAAATACTCAATTATCCAGAACCACAGTATGAAACTCTTATATTTCTACCATTCACATCACCTCACAGTACCTGTGCCTGTTCTAGGTAGAGAGGCTCAAGCTTAGTCTTGAAAACAAATGTACACAGCATTTTGCTAGGATCTCTCTCTCTCTCTCTCACACACACACACACACACACACACACACACACACACGGCATTCGGCTAGAGTCTGGGCCGATTTAAGCCGGGGTCCTCAGTAGTCAATGTCTAAACCTTAATGAGGATTAGAGTTAGCACTACAGCCCTCGTGTATTTGTCCCACTTCATTTTTGAAAGATTTCCCACAGGAAGGTTTCTCAGTCTCCTGGTCAGTCGCAGGAAGAGTCTTCCATATTCTCACTAATATTCCTCTACAAGAATTCCCAACCAATCTTCTGCTTAAGATGCCACAGTCAGCCCTGGACGGTCTGGCTCAGTGGATAGAGCATTGGCCTATGGACTGAAGGGTCCCAGGTTCGATTCCCAGTAAAGGGCACATGCCTGGGTTGTGGGCTCGATCCCCTGTGTGGGGCATGCAGGAGGTAGCTGATCAATGGTTGTCTCTCATCATTGATGTTTCTATATCTCTATCTCTCTCCCTTCCTCTCTAAAAAATCAATAATATATATATACATATGTGTGTGTGTGTGTGTGTGTGTGTGTGTGTGTGTGTACTTTTAAAGAATTATATAGCTGCCAAGGTTTCAGGCTCCATCCCCTGTAGGGGGCATGCAGGAGGCAGCCAATCCATGATTCTCTCTCATCATTGATGTTTCTTTTTCTCCTTCTCCCTTCCTCTCTGAAATCAATAAAAAAAATATCTATCTATATAAAACCCTAATACACAAATCGACCGAACGGCAGAATGACCAGTGGAACAACTGGTCAGAATGACACACACTGACCACCAGGGGGCAGATGCTCAATGTAGGAGCTGTCCCCTTGGGTCAGTGTGCTCCCATAGGGGGGAGCTCTGCTCAGCCACAAGACAGGCTGACGGTTGCCAGTACAGCGGAGGTGGTGGGAGCCTCTCCCGCCTCCTTAGCAGTGCTAAGGATGTCCAACTGCAGCTTAGGCCTGATACCCGCTGGCAAGTGGACATCCCCCGAGGGCTCCCAGGATGCCAGAGGGATGTCTGACTGCCACCTTAGCCCCAATCCCCCAGGAAGCAGGCCTAAGCCAGCAGGTAGTCATCCCCCTAGGGGTCCCAGACTGCGAGAGGGCACAGGCCGAGCTGAGAGATGCCGCCCCCCCGAGTGCACAAATTTTGTGCACCGGGCCTCTAGTGTGATACACACATACACACACACACACACTATTTAAAAAGATGCCACAGTCAATTCTGTAAAGGCTTCTGAGGGGCAACAGTAAGTGAGATTCAAAGCAACACTGAATAGTAGGCAAGTAGCAGAAATCAGACACACACTGAAGTTTTAAGAAACGGGAAATCACCTCAGAGATCCCAAGTCGTGTTGTGACCATTAAATGTATAGAGGTGGTTTGTTCCAGATGAGGTAGCGTTTATCAAACTGATTTAGGCTATGCTAATTTCCCCCCAAAAAGATAACATTTAAGGCAGCAAGTACTGGACTATTTTAAGACTGCAGAGAATTCTGGAAAAGATTTTGAGGTGAAGATGATGGCTGCTAAAGCGAGAATGCTCAACTGCTCAGCCACCCACTGAGCGCAGCACAGAATGCTGGAGGATTACCTGGACATTTAAAATGGCCTGAGGAGTCACGCTGCCTTTCAGCAGGCAAGTCACACACGAGAGGGAGTGGCTGGTCATCTTTTACTGAAGTCCTGAGGTGTAAATTCTGATGATTCGCAGATTGAGAAAAGGACGAAGCAGGGAGCGGAGGTGCTGGTGGAGGCGGAGGTGGAGGAGGGGGAGGGGGAGGCGGCGGCAGGGGTGGCGATGGAGGCAGCAGTGACAGCTCCTCACTGGGTTTGGACTGTGTTTGGTCACCAGCTGGAACAGCCATCTGGACAGGGATATTTCCAGGACAGTCTTGGCACTTGGGGGTTTTCACGTTGCTAGCTTCGGAGGAGGGAGCACTTCTGGTTTTCCTGGAGGACGGACGGACGAGCGCCTTCCCCTGAGAGGTGGGCGAGGAGGTCCGCTGGGCCAGTCCACCTGGCAGGTCTGGGGTGTCGGGTTCTGGGCAAGGGGTCTTTGGTGCAGACCGGCCGGGGCATCTCTGAAAGTGAAAACGGCTCTGAGAAACTTGCCACAAACACAAACCATCAAAATGCCGGGACTCCGTACACAATGAACACGAAGTTCCTGGGCACAGATTGTCCTAGTTCACAAAGCGGCTCCTTCCCGCTTTGCAACCACTAAGTCTGTTAAAGAATAAGCATTTGCTTTTGAGCATCGACCTATGAGCCAGGGGGTCACGGTTCAATTCCCATCAGGGCACATGACTGGGTTGTGGGCTTGATCCCCAGTGTGGGGCGTGCAGGGGGCAGCTGATCAGTGATTTTCTCTCATCATTGATGTTTCTCTCTCCCTCTCCCTTCCTCTTTGAAATCAATAAAAAAAAATTTTTAAAGGAATAATAAGCATTTATACCCTTTCATATAATGCTTTTTCTTTAGTTAAATAGATATGGGAGGATACTATAGATAAAAATATTCATCAGAATATTTTTAGTTTGAAAAATCAGAAACTAAATATGAACCATAGGAAGTTAGCTGAAAAAATTATGGTGAATTAATTTGAAATATTAGGCAGTCACAAAAAATCATAAACAGTACAAAGTCTGTGAAATAGCCTGGAAAAATGCAGATGATGCGCTATTAAATTTATAACCATACAAAAAACACATCCATGAAAAATACCAGCAGAGTGGACCTCAAAATGACAGTCAAAACAGGAATTATGGATGTTTCTTTTCTCTAATATTTAGGCTTAGAGTAAATTTTGTAATTTAAAAATGTGAATTTTAAAAGTTCTGGCCCCTCAGGTGTTCATTTGATAAAGAAAAACCTAACCTTACAAAGAACTAATCTGGAGGGGTGTAGGTCCCTAATGAAGGCACTGATCAGCCAATAAAACATTGAATATTAATGCTATAGGGCAATTACAATGAACTAGGATATATACAATAGGATACTATGATTATAAACTTAAACAAAAAACAGCCCGAGCTGGTTTGGTTCAGTGGATAGAGTGTCGGCCTGTGGACTGAAGGGTCCCGGGTTCGATTCTGGTCAAGGGCACATGCCCGGGTTGTGGGCTCGATCCCCAGTAGGGGGCGTGCAGGAGGCAGCCGGTCCATGATTCTCTCTCATCATTGATGTTTCCCTCTCTCTCTCCTTGCCTCTGAAATCAATAAAAATATATTTTACAAAAACATACACTCCAATTTTATAACACTGAAGTTTACGTGTAAACTTAACACACACACAAAATGGCAATTCATGATAAACTCAGAGTATTTCTGTCTCTCCCACGTCGTTCTAAAGCGTTTCAAAACAAACAGCAACGCAGTGGCCACAAGCCCCCCACCTCCCGGATGTGGCCACCACCTGCAGTTTTCGGAGAGAGAGCAGGCGAGTAGAACAGAACCCCAGAAACCGGCCAGACTCCAGGGGTCGCCCAACCATCCCCCGGGGTCAGGGCTCTCCAAGCACCCGAGCGTTCCCTCCGTGCACCGGGCAGCGTGGCCTCTGTCTGAGATTGCTGGGCAGCCTGCCTCCCTGAGGGCTCACCCAGAACAAATGAAATCCTTGTCTCCCAACAGCCCTTTGAAATATTTACAAACAACTTGTCTGGGCTCCGCCAGTACCACGTCACAGGACTTCATGGGCTGTCCTGTTCCCGCCTCATTCCAAATGTGCCCGGGCTCTGTCCCCTCGACTGTGGCACGTCTTGGTACACGGAGTTCCGTCTACAAAGGATGCTACTGTTCTCCCCAAACTCGTGAGGCTTTCCACAGCTTCATCCCAAGTGATTCACATTAAACGGAAAGCAACTCAGTTCTCAAGGCCCCTTCCCCGCCATTTGAATCACACACACACTCCTTCCCACCACCCCCTGTACACATTTTATTTTTGGACCGAAAACCTGAAACTTAACCCCATTTGAGGTCAACTGTTTCGATTTTTTTAACTCTCTTGCTGAGAGTTAGGTGCCTGATTCTCCCACCTCCGCACCAGCTCGACCTGGAAGCTGATCACTGACCTGTCTGACCGATTCAGGGCTAAGGAGCTGGCTGGCCTCCCTCGAGCCCCCTCCCCACAGTAATTCCACTCACTGACCACCCTGTGCTGACAGCTCACCACGTTACTCCCCACCCATTTGCTCTCTGTTCTGCTGGTACCCATGTAGCTCCCCTCCCGTGCCTTCTTCCTGCTCCCATTCCCGCCCAGGCCCCGTCTAGAATCTCAGGAGGTGTGTCTGGGCATTCGTACTTTTTAGAAGCTCCCAGGTGCTTCTGATGTGCTGCCCAGGTTGGGAGTCCTGGCTGTGGCTCAGGGGTTAGAGACACAGCTCTGTAAAGCCGGGAGCTACATCCTGGAACCACTCTGAGCCTCGGCTACTCATCTGCAAAGTGGGGACGAAGTGCCTAGCACCGGGCCTGGGATGGGAGGCACTCGGTAATGGCCAGAGTAGTGTCTGTCATGGTTTCTCACTCCAGTGGCCCCTACCTTTCTCGCTGGGACCACAGAGCACACCTTTAGTGCCTTATTCCAGAGGCTTGTCTGGAGGGGGTTCGTTTTTCTTTGGGGACAACACTAAACTTCAGTCTTTATTATGATGGTGCATGCAGGGATGTGTGATGAGAACAGGTTTATATTTTAATGTTATTTTTAAATAAGTAACTATTTCCTTTTAAAAAAAAATCTATTCACTCTTTAAAAATCCTCACCTGAGGATATGTTTATTGATTTGAGAGAAACATTGATGTGAGAGAGACGCATCGATTGGTTTTCTCCCCCACGAACCCCAACTGGGGCCAGGGATCAAGCCTGATTTGGGGAACATTCTGTGTTCCAAATGATCTATCTGTTCATGCTTCATACTTTTCTCCGAGGATGGGTGATGTTTAATTATTTCTCCAGAAAACATAGGCAAGGCGATTATTTCTGGAACTTACCTCTTTAAATGCTCTCAATCGTTGCAGTGTCTTTTGGCGTTCTTGGCTTATCCATTCTTTCTTCTTTTGCTCCTGCTCTTTTATCTTGTCTCTTTTCTATATTTAAACAAGTATGTATTTGTAAATTCCTTAA